TTTTTCTTTATTAAATATAATATTTTTAAAATATTATATTAAAATTAAAATAATATAATATAATATATATATATATATATATATATATATAACATGATAATTACAATAATATATATTAAAAGGTATCATGTTATAGTATAATATATTATATTATTTCAAACTATAGTATTATATTATATTATATCATAATATATATATATATAATATTGTTATATTAGTTTAATATTATTATATTGGTTTAATATAATACACTATAATATAATTGCTACAATAAAATATCAACTACAATTAATATAATATATTATATAATAATATATGATATTAAAATATTATATAATATTATAACAAATATGTTGTACTATTATATAATATCGTATGTGATATTGTATAATAATATATAATAAATATCATAAAATAAATTATACATATAAATTAAACTATAATAATATTTTATTTTATTACATGATAATATAATATAATATATTGAATATATTATTACTTTATATTTTATATATCATGTCATATATTTATAATATAATTAGCATGTATTAGTTAAATAATACAAAAAGGTTTGAAAATTATCCTAATTGCCTTCAAAGTGGAACAAAATTGTTTCAATATGGAGAATGAGGTAAATTTTTACTATTGGGATAATTTTTGTATATGAGAGGTAATTTTATCCAAGTGGTGAAATTATCTCACTAGTGTTTTAAAAAATCAATAACACAAAAAGGTAATATTCTTGTTCCATTATCCTAATGAATAACACTATGAAATAGAATCCTCAAAATTATCTCATTATCCCCAAATGTCCCAATGAATAAACCCCCTAAGGTAACATTTAATGAACAGAGGTAACATTTATATGAATTAAGGTAACAATTTTAGGAACATACATAACAACTTATGAACAAATGTAACAGTTTTATGAGTAAAGATGGTATTTTATTGGGGAAACTAACAATTTATTAATAACATTAACATTTAATAGCACAGATTGAAACATACAAAGTAACATGAATGAACAAAGGTGAAAAATTTATGCTCAGAGATAACGTTTATCAGTGTTTAAAATGCAGCCGATAGCAGCACAATAGCGACGCTTTTAGGGATAGCAACTAGCATCTACGAAGCTTTGGCCAAAAGTAGAGGTGAAAAGTGACCTCGTCGCTTTTCACTTGAAAAAATGGCCAAGTCTAGAAAAGCGGTCAATAATGGTCAACACCAAATTTAATACGCTTTTAAGGCTTTTATCTACTTTTTAAAAAGCGAATTTTTATTTCTATGTTGAGACATGACCTGAATCCAACCCACTTTAAACCTGTTTTACTTAATAAACGTCCAATCTCCTAATTCTCTCTCTTCCTCTAATCTCTGTCTATCTAGAACAAAAAACTAGAAATAAATTGTGGTGCCACCTCCTTTCATCTCTCTTGATCTCCCCTTGCTATCCTCCACCTCACCACAGCATCGAAGCTCCAAGTCCTCCCATCTACGAAGCTCTCCAGCGCCTCCCTTTGACTGAGTTTCATTTCTAGTAGCCCTCCATCACCTCGACAAAACCTACTGACACACCTCAACGAAGCCCAGCAAAACTCTACTCTACCAAAGAACTTAAAAGTTGAAAGAATAGGACAATTAACAATTTTTTAATAAACAAACACATCTTTTCATTTTATACAACACTTTGTTATATTGTATGATTGTTACATGTCTATTTCATATTTAGGATCTCTATAAATCATCAAATATGTATTTGTAAAAATTTTTAATATATATATATATATACCATCATCAATGCATACGAGTTATAATAGTCATAGGCCTCCTCATGACTATTAAACTTCATTCCTAGACACGGTTTTTCACCAATTTGCATTCTGAAATAAAGATAATGGTTCAAAAATATATAATGTTACTATTTCAAACAACATATTTAATGTTAGCGAAATTCATGATATTACTGAGGTACCTTGCAATAGGCATCGTTGTTGGAAAAGTCATGAAATGGTTGTTGTTGTTGTTGTTACTATCAACAGGAACATCTTCGCTACTAACACTAGATTCAGCCATTTGTTTTCTAAAACCTGCAAAGAAATTCCAAATATTATAACATTTTATGGTATCCGTAGTTGTCAGCATGAGGCATTATAATATTTAATAAGCAGGTTATTAAATTGTTTCCAAACATTAAATCTAGTTCCTAATATCAATTCAAAGAAATTCCAAACATTAATAAGCAGGTTATTACTGAAATCAATTGATGGGCAGTCCAATTTATCCTTTTAGACCTAAAATGAACATCAACTCTTTGAAGCAATTGTTTCCACATTGCACCTACATCATAGACAAGGAGTGTAATTTGACTTCAGAAGTGTAACCAGTATTGATTATAGCTATTATAGATCACTGTTATAGATAATACGCATAGCTGACCGGATACTCAAGAAAAGGGCATCGCATGTGAGGCAGCATTGCAATGTCGGCAATGTTACCTTAACTATAGTTCCTAATATCGCTTCAGTGTAATCAATACTGACGTCAGAGTACAAGTTAAGACCGTCCCTCCGAATTCCTGGTTTCTCATCCACATGACTCTTGTATCATTGACAGCATGAGGCATTATCAGGCAATCCAATGGCTAGAACAGCAAAAGATAACAACTTGACCTGATTACAACGTCGGAGAATCGATGGGTCACGACGTCGGAGAATCGATGGGGGTCACGACGTCGGAGGCGATCGCGGA